TCTTCTTTTAGGCGACTTCAACGCTCATCACACCGCGTGGAGCTGTGATAGCACGAACACCCGCGAAAGGATGTGCGAACATTTTATCCGTGACTCGTCACTGTGTATTTTAAACACAGGGACTCGTACTCATTTTACACTGCCGTCTGGTCAGACTTCCGCGCTTGACCTGAGTCTTTCTAGTCCCGAGCTGGTGGAGAGCCTCGAGTGGTCTGTGGCAGATGATCCAATGGGCAGCGATCACTTTCCAGTGTGGCTTCGATTCCAAATAAGAGGAACGTTGGGTGTAAGACCACGGCGTTGGAATTTAAAAAAAGGCTGACTGGAGTGAGTTTGAGGCTCGACTGGAGACATTATGTCAGACCGGAGGTGTGCGGGTGGCACTCTCTATTGAGGATTTTGCTCACAGACTTCTAGATTGCGCTAGCGATTACATCACGCGTACTTCTGGATTTCCTCGTCGCACTCCTGTGCCGTGGTGGACGGAGAAGTGTCGTGATGCAATTCGCGCACGCAAACGTGCTTTCCGAGCTTTTGACGCCAGAAGTAGCTTGGAGAATTTAGTAGCCTTTAAGAAAGCCAGGGCTTTCGCCCCCCGCACGATAAAAGAAGCGAAACGTGAATCCTGGCGTATGTATATATGCACGCTCAACTGATTCACACCAACTTGGCAGGTTTGGGCTCGGATCAAACAAATCTCTGGGCAGTTTTCATCCGTGCCACTTCCTGTGTTACATGTTAACGGCCAGGTGGTGACTCATCCGTTGGATGTGGCTAACGGCATCGCCCGAGCACTCTCCCACGTAGCGAAGGTGCAGACAGGAGCCCACATTTCTACGGCAAGAGCACAATCCGAAAAAACCGTAGTGAACTTTTCTACAAGGCAACCACAGGCGTACAATGAGCCCTTCACTTTGGTGGAGTTGGAGTCGGCAATCGGAAAAGTTCGTAGTGTATCGGAAGGTCCTGATGACATCCACAATGAGATCTCCGACATCTGCCACCGTGCGCACGTCGTGCACTATTGGCGGCCTTCAACAGGGTGTGGTCAAGAGGTGAGTTCCCTCCGGACTGACGGGAAGCTGTTGTGGTGCCTATCCTAAAACAGGGAAAGAGTGGGCTGGACCCTCTTCATTACCGACCCATTTCACTGACGTCATCACTGTCAAAGCTCATGGAAAAGATGGTAAACGTGCGACTCACTTGGTTTTTTAGAAACAACGATATTTTTAGTAACTCGCAGTGCGGATTTAGGAAAAACCGTAGTACGGCGGACCATCTCTTAACACTGGACACCACGGTTCGCAAGTCTTTTCAAGAAAAAAGCGCATATGGGGACATATTCTTCGACATTGAAGCCGCCTATGACCACATGGCGCCATGGTATTGTTCAAAAGCTTTTAAATATGGTATGCGTGGCCATATGGAGTGCTTTTCTCCAAAGGTTTTTAGCCAAACGATACTTCGTGTTCGGGTCGGCAACGTCCTCTCCGATAGGTACGAACAAAATAAACGGCGTGCCCCAGGGCGGCGTGTTAAGTGTAGCACTGTTCGCAGTTATGATAAATGATATTTGTGATGTGCTCCCACAGTCGGTCGGACGTGCCCTTTTTGTTGACGATTTTACTATTTGGACCAGTGCAGCGAGAGCACCAGCGATGGAGCGGCGTCTCCAGCTGGCTGTGGACCGCGTTGAAAGATGGGGTGACATGAACGGGTTTCGTTTTTCAGGCGACAAGACCGTTGCGATGCATTTTTGTCGTCGTCAGCGATGTGATGATCTGAGCATCCGTCTATATGGTCGCTCCATTCCAAATAAGGCCGTGGCCAGGTATCTTGGGATACACTTTGACCGTCGCCTTACATATAACGCACATCTTAAAATGTTACGCGACCGATGCTTTAAATCTCTCAACATACTAAAGTGTGTGTCTCGTACATCTTATGGGGCAGACAGAAGCACGTTTATGCTTTTATATCGTTCCCTCGTCCGCTCCAAACTGGATTACGCATGCTTTGTTTATGATGGCGCGTCTGAATCCAGCAAGCGTGTTCTTGATACCGTCCACCATACTGCCATTCGCATTGCTACTGGGGCGTTACGCACATCACCTTCCGTCAGCCTTTTAACGGAGGCACATGAACCACCACTTTCGACGAGGAGGAAAATGCTTGGCATGCGTTATGCCTTGAAGCTGCGGCAGTTCCCACTTCACCCGACATATTCTGCAATATTTTCGCGGTTTGCGGTAAGTTCTCTTCGTCATGGGCCGCAGCAGCACGCTTTAACCTTTGGTTCCCGAATGAGAGCGTTACTGCTTGAGAGCGGAATTCCTGTTCGGGGTGTAAGGCAAGTAGGCCGCCTGGCTTCTCCTCCTTGGCAAATGACCACACCCTTCATTGACACCTCGCTTACGGAATTAGGAAAAAAGACGTCACACCACACCTATTGAGATCCAGGCAGTTGAGCTTTTGGCGTGTTACGAAGGATATACCCTGACATACACAGACGGATCCAAAACCTCGGATGGCGTGGGTTGTGCTTTCGTTAGCGGGTCCGTCACTCGATCGTTCTCGTTACCGGCCCACTCGTCAGCTTTTACGGCGGAATTAGTTGCAATCACCAAGGCGATATGTTTCATAGAAGTGGGTGAAGAATCTTCACACGCCATTTTTACAGATTCACTGAGCAGTCTCTCTGCACTGAAGTTTATCCATCATGTCCCCTTTTACAGGACATTTTATCCCGCCTGACACAATTGAATCGGGTTGGAAAGAGAGTTGCGCTGTGCTGGATCCCTAGTCACGTCGGTATCGTGGGCAACGAACTGGCTGACGCCGCTGCTAAGCGAGCAGCGGTAGCACCATATACCCGGTTTTTGCCTATCCCTGCCAGAGATTTTTACCCGGCAGTCAGGACCTTCCTGAGAAGCAGATTGCAGCGCTGTTGGGACCAGGGGGGGGCAATAAGCTCAGGGCAATAAAGACAGAGTTGGGTTGTGGTCGTCATGCTCTCGCAGTGTGCGGTGGGAAGAGGTGGTTTTATGCAGGCTGCGCATTGGGCATGCTTATGCCACCCATAGCCATCTGTTGCATGGAGCCGACGACCCCTATGCCAGCGGTGTGTGTGTGTGTGTGGTGCCGTCCTGACTGTCCATCATGTCATTATATCATGTCCATGCCTCTTCGAAGAACGACGACGTCACTTTGGTTCACAGGCTTCGACCCTGACGATTAACGATGTGCTTGGTGACAGTTCCTCCTTTCTTGATCCCAAACAGCTCTTTTCGTTTTTAAAAGATATTGATTTTCAGTCATTTTCACACCGTACTAATTAAGTAACAGCATAGTTATGGGCGCAAAATGACCACTGCAGTCGCGACGCGCCCGAAAACTCCAATGAACAACAAAAAGACAGAAACCAATCGATAGTGAACTCACTGGCACTGAATGTCGCATGCAGTCAGCCACAAACGGGGCTTCCAGACCGTCCGTGAAACTTACCTCCTTCTTGGCCTCCACTTCCATGGTGTCTTGCTCAATTTTGATCATGAGCTTTTCTGTCTGCGCCGACGTCTCGATCAGCTGGGGCTGCAGGCTTGTCAGCTCGTCCTGCATCACTGACACCTGGCGGTCATAATGTGCACTTGAGCGTGAGAAACCGGCCGGCAGGGCTCGACAGTCTCGAGGTGGCATCCAGATGGGGGAAGCGCGCTCGACAAATGGGGCGGGATCACGAGCTCCCTTCTACTACCGAGGGTGGGATACCGAGCGTGCGACTCCTACCCCGCTTTACGGGCCTTGCCATTGCGCCCACAGGACCCACATGCAATGAACGCCGTAAAAACCTCGAATATTCCCCGACCATACCGGTGGCAGGATGGTAGAAGCGAATCTGCCAGCTTGGAAATAAGCAAATAGCACTATTGCAGACACAAAGCCGACTAAAACCACCCGGGCCGATCGACGTGCACGGCCTAGATAACCCCCACACCATTTCCAATCACAACAAAAACATTGTAGCTATAAGGCCCTTACAAAGCTGGCGTACTGGAAGCTGATCCTAACTCCGCGACGACAATGTGGGAACGGCATGCAATGGCGCTGCGTCGCCATTGGGATTTTACGACGCATTCCGCTATTGAGGCCATATGGCGTCGCCTGCCCCCCCCCCCCCCCTGGCATGAAGGGCGGGCGCCCCGGGAATCGAACCCCGTACCTCTGGCCTGCCTAATGCGCAGCATACCCATGATGCTCCGTGGTTTGAAAAGCTTCAACCAAATGTTTTACGAAATATTTTTACTCCAGCATTCATTGCAAGACAAAACGACGTTCCCTCGAATCGTCATCAGCTAAAAGACATCGGGAACAGAGAAATGCGGCGAAGAGGCAGTGTACCAGTCCAGTCTTTATGTGCTGAAGCCTTAAACGAGACCCCTAAAAAAAGACTTGAAGAAGGCCGTGAAAAACAGTAATCATCACATGTACGAAATGACGACGGGATGCGTCGAATATGGAAATAACAGTAACTGGCAGGTGCATGGCTGCTTGCAACACATATCACACCCGCATCAGCAGCATCTATCGCCGTGCTTGTCTTCACCTCAGCCACTCCTCGGTGCACCAACCCGCCACAATTTTCAGGCGTTGTCAAGGGCGGCCGACCCGCAGCCGCACCCCGGTGCCGTCCGCCACGCTGGCGTCATCAGCCCGCCGCGCGGTGACCAGCGATCACAGCCGACCACCGCAGGATAAGGACGCTCGCGGAATCCTCAGCCTGCTCGAGGAAAGCACGGCCCGCGGCCGGGAATCGGAGAACATCACGTTGAGTCACAGGAAATACGGCCGCACCCGCCGCGGAAACCCGCGGACCTCCGCGGCTGACGCGACGGGGCGGGCGGTCACACGCGGTGGTGTGCAGGCATCCCGTTCTTCATGCTCCAGCGGGTTGGGCGGAATTAACGTCGGGGACTAGGGACCGTACCGATCCCGAGAGTTGGGAAACATGGAGATTAGGGACGATCGGTGGCTTAAACGCGTCGGCTGAACTGGACGGCACCACGAAAGTTCAGTCGATGAAGGATTACGTTTTTAAAGCAGTGTCATGCAAATTAAGCCCAACTGGTGGTCAATATATTTGTGTTTTCCTTTTCGTTGTCCGCTGCATGCTATCAGTAAGTGGCCGTAATATATCCAGCATCACCCCTGGTCAGCTGGCATGACATATCACACCTTTATTATCTCTTGATAGCTTCCACAGAACAGAATGTAGTTTGCGTCGTGCTCTATGAGATGGTCCAAGATGGTCCGCGTAAAGCAGACGATGACACATTTATGGATTCTGAAGAAAGAAAAAAAACAAGGAGTTTTAACAGGAAATGTTTGTTTGAGACACTGAGACACAGCCACGGACAGGAAACTGAGTCAGGACCAGACAACGCCACCAGTGACGAGAGCGCAGTGACGCCAGCCCCCGAAGCGCAGCCTCACGCGTCACGAGACTCGTCACACACGACGGCGAGTCGGAGCTCGTGACGGCCGCCGAGAGTCACGTGCTCACGGTCGGCAATCCCGCTCCCGCTCGGCGGGTCGCGCGTCCTCACGGCGCGCCGGACGGCCCACGGCGAGCCGCGGCGGCAGAGGAGCGAGAGAGGCCGACCGACTCTGCAGTGTGTGAGTCAGGAGCCGCTGCTGGGACTGAACGCCGACTGTGGGAGCCGCGGCGCCAAGGGGCCAGAAGGAGTCAAGGGACGCTCCTCACTGAATGCCGACTGTAGCGAGCCGCGGCGGCAGAGGGGCCAGCAGGAGTCAGGGGACGCTCCTGCCCACTGAACGCCGACTGTCGGGAGCCGCGGCGGCAGAGGGGCCAGCAGAGTCAAGGGCACGCTTCTGCCACTGAACGCCGACTGCAGCGAGCTGCGGCGGCAGAGGGGCCAGCGGTCAGGGACGCTCTTGCCACTGAACGCCGACTGTAGCGAGCCGCGGCGGCAGAGGGGCCAGCAAGAGTCAGGGGACGCTCCTGCCACTGAACGCCGACTGTAGCGAGCCGCGGCGGCAGAGGGGCCAGCAAGAGTCAAGGGACGCTCCTGCCACTGAACGCCGACTGTAGCGAGCCGCGGCGGCAGAGGGGCCAGCAAGAGTCACGGGACGCTCTTGCCACTGAACGCCGACTGTAGCGAGCCGCGGCGGACGAGGGCCAGCAGGATCACGGGACGCTCTTGCCACTGATCGGCCACTGTAGCGAGCCGCGGCGGCAGAGGACCAACAGAGACCGACTCTGCAGTGTGTGAGTCAGGAGCCGCTGCTGCGACTGGACGCCGACTACCCGTACCTACACTTATTATCTAAGAGGTTTGGACGCAATGGAACCTACGTGTGGTATTAGCACGCTACCTTCCGCAGCGGTTGTTTGCGTTACACGCAGATGCGTCACACAGCGTACACGGAGAATGTGTGTCGCGGCCTCGTGTCTGCCCGTCGGAACTACTGCCACACGTTTTACAACGGGGTGTCTGCGTCTCGCCCATGAAGGCGAGACGCGAGTGTGTCGTACACTATTGTACATGCTCGTACACTATTGTACGACGCATGCTCAACAACAGAGGGGCGGCCGATAATGTCAAAAAGTTCACGGCATCGTAAATGTTAAGATTAAAGATGAATGAAGATGAAGCTACAAGGTCTGTTTAAAATGGCATTTATGTGATCGCATCATCTTTCAGTACGAACGATTGCCAAAGAACAACAATCAGCCGCATTAGGCATGCGATCCCTCTGACTTTATTTTCAAAGTGGTTGAAACCTCCTCATCACGACAGACAGTGATAACAACTTGACGGCAACACCCCGCTGGTACATCCGTCTCCCCGAGCACGGCGTTCCTTGCTGACAATGCATATGCTGGGGATTTCAAGAACCATTAAGTAGTTCTGCCATTGTGGTCACTATAGGCAGTCCGTACAATCGCAAACAAAGCAGGCGGAAGCCATGAAATTCCCTGGCGTTTTGAAAATCCGCACAACCCTCGTTACATAATCGTATACGACACATCCGCCACATGTGCAGCGCTGCTTATCTGCGTGACCGATGCAGAAAAAAACAGAGCGTTGTTTGGCCCAAACTCGAGGAGTGCTCACCCCTAGCCCACGCCAGGCGCGTCGTCGCTACGGCGGGCTGCCGAACCTACCATTTTTCAGCACGTACGAAGGCGAACAACTTGATCTAGCTCTCGCTCTCGGCGCAGAGCTGTACCCGCATCGCGAGCCGAAGCTAACCGCACCGCCTCCGAACCACGAGACGGCCCGCGGCAACCGAGTGGTACGCCATCTAAGGTGAAACACCCCCCCCCCCCTCCCTCCACTCTGCCTGCGAGGGCAGACGTCCCCGGCCCGCCCGAGTACAGTCACAGTCCACAGTTTCAGGTCTTCGACAATCTACAGTCAACTCGCACACCCACCATCGATGGCGGCAGACGGCGCGCCGGCCCAGCCTCGCACCGAACCAAACAAGGCACGCGGCCAGCGACCACGCTGACTCCACGCCATCAGCTGGGCGCGGCCCCCGGCACGTGAGCATGTCTGCAGGGGTCACTGGCACGCGGGCCACCGGCGGAGCTTAACTCCGCGTCCGCGGGCGCAAAACTCCGCCGTATGTACACGGCCTGGGGTCACACAGATGGCCACCAATCACCCAAAAATATTTCACGCAGGATACATGCATTGCGGACGGAAAAAGTGTCACGTTTTAAAGGCGCGGATGCCTCTGAAACTGCGGCAGGCGAGCGAGCTAGTCCGTCCATAATTTGCTGCTCAAAGATAGCTTCGGAGCGACCTATATTTATGAGATTATACCAGGGCGATCACAAACGTTACCCGGTATCCAGTTGGCGTTCTGCAGATTTGTTTCAACTGAGTTGCATGGGTGGTTTTGGGTTCTAGCTGCTTACTTCGCAGTCTGTCACGCGCGCCCTGAACCCACCATCCTGAACCCACCTGAACCCAAGTTCACTCGCACCGGGTCAACGGGTAAATGACGTGATAAGCTGCCGGGATATTTTGGTCTCGTGCCTTTTCCACAGACGGGACTGCGGAGTCATGCGCGCCAGTGTTACGACATGGTCATTGTGTGCCGAACAGATCGCATTTGGCTGAATACAGATGGACATGTCTGTGTCAATCGAACCACACAATCAAAACAAGCTCAGGCGTAAAAACCAGCCCGCTATCGAGAACATTCCCTCAATTATTTCAAAGCCGGTTTTCCACAACATTGTGCTGCTTGTAGCGACATTTGTTAAGGAAAATACAGCACGTGAACTGTTGTATTTTCTGGGATTATTGCCGAACTGAACGTTAAGCTTCATTCCCGTTTACGAAGCCGGACGCTTAACAACATGTTTTCGTCCGGACGTGCCGCCACGAAGTGTCCATTGTAACGAACTAATCACAGTAGCTGTTTCATTTTCCGTAGCACCAGACGATGGGTGTCAGCTTCTACAAAAAGATGGACAGAACAGGCCAACGGACAAAATCACCATGTCATCTGCATGCTATGCCGCTGTGTGTGGGGGAAAGAACAGAAGGAGAATCTTCCATGGGGGACCCCGTTTACCCCTGAGGACAAAAAGAGGCACCGCAAGGCTCCCCGTTCCTGAAGAGCCCACCCTACCCCTCTGAGAAAGCCAGGGGACGGCACAGCTGACCCCAGGCCCCGGGCGTGTTCAGCTGCTCCGAGATAACAGCCGGAGCCAGACAGACGCCAGGCGGACGTGCCGCCTCCCCTGCACGATAGCGGTTCTGTCAGCCAGCCAAGGTTACTACCCACAGCCTGATAGTAAAGGCCAAGGTAAAAATCCGGGGGATCGCGACGAAGCCAGGCGACCACTGGCGTCGGCTAAAACTAAAAAAAAATGCGTCGGTTAGGAGGTCCCGGTGCGGCAGCGAGATTAAGCGATGCAGATTTTGGTGGTTAGAAGATAGTTAGATTGTATCGAACTTCTGTCAGCTGCTTCTAGGCGCTCAAACCGGTTCACGCTACTTATCGATAATCTGAAGGTTTTCCGACCGTCTTAGGGGGCTGGTTTTTCCTCAACATCGGAACCTTCTTGGGACTCTTCTATGTGTGAAGCAACTCTAAAAGCGGAGTTTTCAAGTGAGTAAAATACAAGGTTGCCCAATTCCCCGTTTAATATGGACAAGCTTTTCGCAAGCTAGCTTTGATCAGCTTAAAAAACGAGTCTTCACATCATGCAGCAACTCTGATGAATCCTGCAGGTTAATGCTGCAGCGTTTCATGAAAGAAACCTAAGAGCCATATTCGCCATCTCAGCCTTTTCAGAGCCTACGCCCAAAGACTGACAGCAGTTTAAAATGCCCTTCGCCGCCACATCACATGACCACGTCCAATCCCCCCCCCCCCCCCTTCCCCCCCCGCTCGATATCCAACCCAGGTCCGCCCAGGTCAGCCGCTGACCGACCCGCACCTGCGAGGCGGCGAACTCCAGCTTCTCCAGGCCGGTGACGTAGCGCTGCCGCAGCGTCAGGATGTCGTCCCGCTTGCGCTGCAGCAGCGCCTTGAACGCCAGGATCAGCTCCAGGTATGAGGTGGGCGTCACATAGTTGTGTCGGTTCAGCTCCGCCAGGTATCTGGCGAGGCGTTCGATTATGTCGCCGCGAAAGTGAGTCATACAGCCACGCGCGTCGCGACCCATGGCAGCGACTGTGCAAGGGGTAGGGGAGGGGGCGGGGCATGGCTAGCAGGTGTCGCACACCCAAGAACCTGCCGTTGCACGCGCCGCGGTCTGAGCCAAAATGTCCACCGGTTCCACCTGAGCGGGAGTCGCCGGTGGCAAGGTGGCCACGGACGGGACCGCCGCGCGGCCACCATTCAAGTCTCACCGCATGGTGACACACAGCCACCGCATGGTACCCGCTGAGCGAAACTTACCCATGACAGCGGCCACCAGAGGGCGGAAGCTCTCCTGACCGCATGCACCCATGAGGAGCACGACTAGCCGGTGGGACATCATATCCGTTAGTTATCCAGCCCACCTAACCACACCCAACATCGCTCCGGCCACTCCATGCATGATTCGCGCCTATTTGTATTCTACGACGGCACATTAACAACCAGGATGGCGTGTGCACATGCCTGCTGGCCAAGGTCACGCTGCTTCAACACAAACAAATAAATAAAGCAAGCACCAGAAGCGCCGCTCACCTCTGAGACATGACTCGCACGCTCTCGTGGAAGTGCTGGCAGACGAAGACGCAGCCCAGCCGCAGGTCCTCGTCCATGTCCGGCACGTCGCGGAGGAAGTGGTGTGCCACCCGCTCCAGGGCGTCCTCGGGCCAGGCTGTGAACCTGGCACACATCTGTCCCCGGTCAGCTGGAGCACGCGCCGCGGCCGGGGCACAGCACAGCACAGCACAGCACAGCACAGCACGGCACAGACCGACATCCCAACCTGTCACACAGGCGGCACTGGCTCAGGCAAGGGAACGATAGAGTGAACACTAAAACAGGGTGAGGAAATACTGGTATGAGGAAGACGCCAGGCCAACAGACACAAAATACAGGCACGGATATAATGCGCAACATGGCACAAAGCAGGCCGCGGCTCGGCACGAGTAGACAGCTGCATACGACGTGTTCCAGTCACAACACGACGCAAACGACCGAACCCGTAACACGCACCTGTCGAAGGAGTCAACGACAGCACACACACGCACACAAGCGCGCACGTACGTACGCATGCACACACGTACGCATGTAGCCACGCATGCATGCACACGCGCACACAAACCTGCGCACGTACGTCACGCACGCACGCATGCACGCACGCACGCAACACACACACAACACACGCGCACCACACACACACACACACACCACACACACACACACACCACACACACACACCACACACCACCCACACAACACACACACACACACACACACACACACACACCACACACACGCCCGCGCCGCGCCACGCCCACGCTCGTGCTCGCACTCAGAGCCCTCCGACAGTGCAGCGGGCCGTACCAGTCGATGGTATTGGTGCAGCAGTTTGATGAGTCGAGGGGAACATGCGCAGCCGGTTGCGGAAGGCGTCGCCGATGGGCGACATGGCCACCACCACGTGCAGATTGGCGCGCACCAGCTCGATGAAGAAGTTGTAGAGCGCCAGCGGGGCCGAGTCCACCTTGCGGCCCTGCCGACGCGGCCAGAGCCGTGCTCAGAAAGCGGCGCTCGGTGGGACGTGAAGGCCAGCTGACACAGTGCAAAGGCACCGTGGGAGTTTTGTGTCTGGCGCACACCGTGTGAGCTTTGTTGTGTTGCACACCGTGTGGGGGTTGAGTGGTGCGCACCGCGCGAGGTTTGTATGGTGCACACCGTGTGAGGGTTGTGTGTGGTGCACATCGTGTGAGGGCTGTGTGCAGTCTACACCGTGTGAGGGCTGTGTGCAGTGTACACCGTGTGAGGTTTGTGTGTTGCACAACGTGTGAGGGCTGTGTGCAGTTTACACCGTGTGAAGTATGTGTGTGGTGTAAACTGTGTGAGGTTTGTGTGTGGTGCACACCGTGCGAGGTTTGTGTGTGATGCACACCGTGCGAGGTTTGTGCGTGGTGCACACCGTGCGAGTCGCGAGGGCCTCGTGGGAGATGGGTGAAAGTGGATTGGAGCATATAATTCTTTTATGAGAATGAAGCTGAAAGATGAACAAGTCGGAAGTGCAGGTATTCGGCTAGGGCTTGTAAGATGACTTTCTATTCTATGCTGGCGTCAAAAACGCTTGGCCCCTATATGAGTTTGCAAATCAATTAAGCATTGACATGTTCACCATGGCTGTGGCGCTGCGGCATACACCGCTCCTCCTCTCAAATAACTGGTAGCTAGTAAACGAGAAACGTTTGATTGGTTTGACCGATCTTGGCAGGTTCTCGCTGACCATTTAAACGTAGGCTTGTCCATTTCCACAGACTTCTTTCTGTAAACATTTTGTTCATAGCAACACCCGTACCGCAGCCAATCAAGTATCCGGCATTGCCTCATGTAATGAGGTCAAGCTTTCCCGAGGGCTGCTGGGCGGCGGCGTGACGCATCTGGCCACCTCGGGCCAGCCCCAGTGCTGACGGCGTCTCGTGCGTCACTGCTGGCTTATGGGACCGCAACGGCTGGCACGAGCAGCCGCTGCCAAGAGGGCAGGCAGATTGGAGGAGCGGGGAGAGCGAAGGAGCGGAAAGACCGCGGACAAACGGGTCAGGGAGAGATATCGGGTGAGGGTCCAGAGGGGCAGAACTGGAAACGAGGACATAGGAAAAATAATGGGTGAAATACACGCAAGTATAGAATGGTAAAGAGAAAAAAACGAAACATAGAGAAGTGAAAATGTAAGCGGCGGGAGAACAAGCGAAAAGAAAAAAGGATGAAGGGATGGGCGGCGGACGATAAAATCGGAGCGAGGTAGGAAGAAAACGAATAAGGAAGAGGGGAAACAAGGGCAGTAAGAAGGAATCTAGCGCGCCGTCCCCGCAGCCAGAGCAGGCGGACACGGCGCCACTCGGCACCGTCACCGCATCCCCCGGCGGACGCCCGCTGAAGGAGCCGTGCCTGACCTGCGTGCTCGCCTTGCGACGCCGCGCGCCTGCGCCGGGCTGCAGCGGCGGCTCCTCCCTATCACCAGCCGCACGGCGCCGGCCGCCGTCGATCCGGGCGGGGCGCGGGCCTGACGGGGCCTCCCCTCCCTCCCGACGGCCGCGCGCGAACGAGGCAGGACACAGGGCTCGTGCCGAGGGTCCCAGCTCCCAGCGCCAGATGCTTGCCCACGTCTGCGACAGTATCAGCCCAAAACGGTTCGGTGGCAAGTCGACCGAACTGGTCCCAAAGCGTACTGGGTGGAGCGAGATTGAGGCTTATCCGGCGGAGCATGCCCGAAAACCCGTCCCACTCCGCCGCAAAAGCCCACGAGGAGCCTGCACCAAGCGATTCTTAATCGCCATCTTTAACGTAATTTCCGGTTTTGTATGACAATTGATCTATCGAACTGCGTTTTATCTAATGTACCTATAGGCATTCAGCCCGGTTTTCTTGCGCCCGGTACGACTGCATTATACGCGAAAACGGCGGAGACAGATGACGCTATATGGTGACGCTACATTTCGCAACGCGTTGTCTCCAAACGGTCGCTACGAGCGCCACATGTCCAGCGCAGACCACTGCCGGCTCCCAGCGCAGACCCCTGCCCCATCTCGAGCTCCGCGTCGGTCGACGCCAGGCCGGCCGGGCCGGGTCGCGGCAGCGAACTTTCCACGCGGGCTCCACCAGCCGGCCGGCCAGCCCCGTCCACGTCAGCGGAGGGTACTGCCACTGACCGATACCATCGCTCAGCACGTCCGCGGCCCTGGGACGAGGCTACCTGCACACCCACCGTGATATGGCAGGCATCCGGGGGTTCAGAGGCCCGTGGGGCGGGATGCATGCGATACGAGGTGGCGTAAACAAAGACTGCTCTCGCTTGCGCTTCGACGCAAGGGCGACGGAAGACTTCAGTCCCCGTATCAGACGGGCTTGGGCGTCTCTAGATGCGGGCCTAACTCACTACAATCGCCACCTGCAGTGCGGCGCCGAAGGTCGCTGACGTCTCGGGTTCCGTCCTACTCACCATGTCCTTGGCGATCGTTTGCATCTTCTCGAGATTTCCGCCTTCTCGTCCGCTGGATACAGATTGGGCACGTCGCCAAGGTTCAGGATCATGTTCAGGTCCTCAACCATAGCTTCGTCCTTCACCTGTCGAGACGGCACGGCGTGGGTGGTGATCAGCGCCAAGGCAGCCGTGCGGTTTCGGTTCATGGGCGCGAACGTGCACCCTAAACGGGCTGCATTAGCCGTTCCGATGTCTGCGCGTGCTTGTCGGATCCCTGCTATACCGAGCACTAAATCATTGCCACTGGCACGGTGCATAAAATACGCTCGTGCAGAATGCCATGAAAATGCTGCAATAACACTACTAATGGCCAACATATTACCGTAAGGTTGCGATGATCACAACATATACAACGTTATGGTATGAAAGCTATATTGACTATAATTATAATATTTACACTTGAGTTAAAATCATGTTCCACATTTGTATGGGGTTTTGAACGGAAATAACATATCGAAGATTATTCAGTGCAGTTCACAGCCATGCCCTTGTTAAGACCTACACGCCCGCGAAGATGTGTAGGCTTTTTCGGAGAGATTATTTCAAGTCACCTAAGCATCCCCGACACCAAAATAACGTCATTAAAATCCAGCCATTCCGTTGGCTCTGCGGCCATCAATGCCGAGGAAAATGCATCGAGTCGTCCATATCTGGCGCTCGTGAGCACGGTTTCTAGATAAAGCGGGCCGTCAATTGGCTCCAGCCAATGTTGTGCAAGGTACGATGACGTAACCAAGCATGCCGTACTGAGAGGCATATTTACTAAACAGATAATCTGTGTTGTCTAGACCAGTCTTGTCTACCTAAAAAGCAAGCCAATAGTTATCAGAGCTGATTGCATGACATTTGATGCTTCCTTCAGTATCTAAATGTGAAACATTCCCTAAGAACACTAATTCACCTGTATAATGACAT